ATATGACATTGCATCAATCTAGTGTTACCTTGCCAGTGCATTTTCCTGTCACTTTCCTTATTGCAAAAATTTCAGTTTTTGAAAGAGAAGTGGGTTTGTTCCGCAAGACTGCCAAATCCCCATTTTATTTGTGCAACCTGAATTGGCCTGATATGTGATTAAATCCCATCTGAAAACAGGGACAGTGACTTGAGTGAAAGGCAATGGGTGAAAACTCAGAATTAAGAGACAAGGGTATCTCCGAGTATCGGTGAAAATAACATACGAGATGGAAATTGCTTTGCAAAAATATTAGAAGAAATTTGCAAACTGATGTGGAAATGTGGAAGAGAAAGTAAGACTGGAAAAATGAAAATCGAAATTGACCTCTGCCCATTCCTAGTCCCAGAGCTGAGCTGACCATCTTTCTGTGGCCACTTCAAAACTGCCACTACTTGACAACAGTCAAGTATGACAGCATGATAAATTCATATGCCAGTAAATTTAATGTTGATTTTAGTGTTCTGATACAACAAGCCACTTCCAAAACAAACAAACAAACAAACAACATTTTTGTGGTAAGAAAATTGATGGGAAAATGTCCTGGAAAGTGTGGGATAATGACAACATCATATGTCCTTCTTATGAACAAATCAGAATGGATGCTCAAGAAACAGCAATGTGTAATAACCTCAATGCAATTTTTGTGCAAACACATCAGGATGAATGCTCATCTGGAAGCACCCTTCATTTCAGCAGTCATAGATGCTGTGTATTTGTGTGTGTGTCAGAAACTTCTGCTGTTCTGCTGCAGATCATCCAGTTGATCTTGATCTGCCCCTGTACTGTTTCAGATGTTTGCAGGAAAAGTGGGTATTCCCTGCTTCTCCATAAGGAACTAGCGTGAGGCAAGCCTTCCATAACTCCAGACAACTGCTGTGAAAGATCAGGCTGAAATCCATTTAGTCCAGAAAACACTTTCCAGAGGCTCACTAGTAAGACATGAAGATGATGTCCTCCTTGTTTGTCCCCAGTACACTGCTTCTCTCTATGAAGTGGTAGTCAGCAACTTGGATGGCTTCAAAAGAGTGTCAGACAAATTCATGGAGGATAAGGCTATGATTCTGTGATCTCTAGTTTGCTTAAGCCAGCACCTTCACCCCCCAACCTTAGACATTTTCACACTAGGAAGGGAAAAACGCATCCCTATACACTTAAAAAGCAAAGTAGAAATATGACAGCACGGTGGATGTTGGAAGCACAGAGAAATAAGATGAAATTGCTGTTGTCATTTTGCTCAGCCTTTTCTGGTTACACAGGGAAATTGTTTTTCTTGCAGATTAAGAAAAAAAATCATTATGTTACATTAAAAAAAAGACCAGAAAGGGGGGGAAAGCAAGCTGAGTGCTAACAACCGTAATGATTTCTGCTTTAATTAGAACATAACAGGCTTTTTATTAAATACCTACCGCTGAATAAGAAATGCTTTACCAGCCGGGTACACAATGTGGGTTTTGTGCATTCATTACATGCCACTGTTTGCTTGTTTCTGCATGTGTGCCAAGCGAGCAGAGAGATAATATGTAGAAAATGTGCTCCAGCAATATATTTATTATTTATTACAAGGCTGGAAAATTTGGCTGTAATCACAATGTTGGGGTTTGTCTTTTGGTTCAAATCCTTGTCAAAATTTGCAGTTTTGTAGAAAATCAACCCGCCCATTATTCCATCAGATGAGGCTATGATCCATTATCACATGTCTCGAGGATTTATTTATGTTTTGGCACAGTCTTTGTTTAAAGAACTGTATGTTTAGCAAGCACAGGGATAAGTGCCTGTTTGGCTTCTCTGCCATTTCTGTGTGTTTTTAAACATTCACTATTTTTAGACTAAGTAAGTTCTCAACAGGAGAGATTCTGTCAATTTCTTTTTTCTCTTTGTTTCTCATTTTTCCAGCCTTAAGTTCAGTTCTTCAACTTTCAGCACCAGTTTTGGGATTATTATTCTTTTAATTCTCATGAAAACGTGTCCTAATTTTAGTGCACAGTACTGCAAGAAATTGTTATGAATATAATGAATTTTATATATTCTTTTCATGAACAGTTTTATGTACAATTTCCCCAATGGGGTTTTAGCTGCATTTTTTCTACACTTTCTGTTGCATGCCATTTAGAGAGCAGTTTGATCAAGCAGTTTATAAATCTTTTATTTACGGTATTTCAGAGAATTTATATGCTGCTTGTAAAAAGAAAACCTGCAAAGAGGATATTAAATTTATACTGATATAATATATACTGGTTTATATATTGTATTGATTAACAAATGTATTATATAATTATATAATTACACTCCCATGACCCCTCTGAGACTTTGGTGGATGGAAACGGTGGAATCCTCCTATGTTTTTGCCAAGTCTCTCTCCCCCCTCCCCACATTCCATGGTAGTAGAAAGAGATCTGTCCCAATTGAGTTTCACAGCATTTATATCAAGAGAAAACACGGCTCTCACTTCTGACCAAATCCGGGATGCCTTTTGCCTAGGCTGCTGTAAAAGGGCTGAGATTCCTATTTATGCTGTACTTCCAGCCAAGGCTCCCAGAAAATGTGAACAGAGAAACGGAGCCTTAATTGGCAGTGTGCAGAATTAATTCCCTCGCAGTCACGTTTATTTTGGTGTAGGATTGCATCATTCTTCCCTTCCTTGCTCATCTCCACCTACACGTTAGAAGCATTGTCCAAAAGAGCTGCTGCTACACTTTCCCTAAGGAGATGGAAGCCAATTCTTGAAGGGATTTGGGGGTGGGAACGGGGTCAGAAGCAGGCACACGGGAAATTAACTGAGGATGACTACAGCCTAGTGGAGCTGCTGCCTGTCGGACTCCAGTGAACCAGCCACTTTTTGCTGGTGGGTTGAGCAGCTGATCGTGTCCGCAGGTGAGGAAAAGCTTGATGGTCAACTGACTTAGGTGCCTGGGTGGCTCACATTAGAAGCCAGATAGCAAAACTGAAGAGTTTGCAAATTTACTCCTTGACCATTGGGAGTTCAGTGACACCTGGAGGTTCTCCACCTTGTGCATCCTTAGTCTTCTCCGATTTTAACAGCCACATCAGGGCAGGCAGCTGATCCTTGACAATGATGGGAATTGAGACATGGTGCAATCCTCTTCCTAGTTTTATAAAATGTTGGAGGGTTTGCGAAGTAGGTGGGTTCTGCAGTCCCCACACAGGAGCATTTCAGCAGGTGAATTATTACAATTGCATTTTTATAACTTTTGATATTTATGTTGTATCGCTATTATGTTATGTATTGGCATTTAAGTTCTATGCCCTGTGGTCTTTTGACAAAGAACACTATACAAATTCAATAAAATAAATACATAAATGACTGCAGAAGAGGTTGCAGTGTGTGCATGCACAAGGAGAGAGGCTTGAAACTTGCTGTCCCAGCCAATTCATAGCCCCGACATTCCGAGTACAGATGTGGAGAAGGTACAAAGCGAGTTGGATTCACTTTTGAAAAGTGTTTGCCTTTCCTCCCTCACTACAGCTCCATCTTCTCTGTTGCCGATTGCTGATGGTTGAAATCTCCCTTCCTGCCCATCCCTGTTCCTCCCTTTGTCAAGCAAGCCTAGCCGAGGACTTTTATTTTAAAGGGTGGATAAATATCTGCCAGGGATGAATGATGTATAATTAATTAATTCTGTTTCTGCATAAGCAGGAGGAGGCAGGCGATGTCATGAGAGCACTGCACTCCGAGCAGGTCTCCAAAATGAGAGAGGAATCAAGGGAGAAGGGGGTCTGTATCGGTTTAGTCACAATCCTGCACTCTTTTAAAAAGCCAGCCTTGCAAATTGGAATTGCTGACTCTGGACTCCAGAGGCATTTTTTTTTTTAAAAGAAAAGGTTACGACTGTCGCCTCCCTAGTAGCCGAGGTGCCTGAAAGATGGCTGCCTTTCAAGCCAGAGAGGCATTTATTGCAGCAACAGCAGACCAAAGCTAGGAAGAATGGGACCTCTCCATTACTGACCTCTGAGCAAGCTTGTAAACAAGAAGACCTGCCCGGCTGCGAGTCCCCGGGGTATATTATTCCCCATCTCTTTAGTACAGCGCTGTAATTATAGATCTGGTTGGAGCGGATCCATATTCCCATTGCACAAATTGATACTTACACTGAGTCAGTGAGTATTTAACACAATCTGTTTAGCAATGGAGTAATTGAACTGCGAGGCAGCCGTGGAAGGCTGGAGAGGTGGAGCTGCCAGCAACTTGCTTAAAGGCCTTGTAAAGAAAAGTCAGTTCCAGGCCTTGCAATGAGCCTGGCAGAGTCTATTGTAGATCACTGTCACAACTTCCCCCAGTTCCTAGTTATGGTGCCTGTTCTCTCAGCTCTTCACACAGGCTGCTGGCCTGCGCATTCTTGACCTTGTGCCTAATACAGTGGTACCTCGGGTTACATACGCTTCAGGTTAAATACGCTTCAGGTTACACACTCCGCTAACCCAGAAATAGTGTTTCAGGTTAAGAACTTTGCTGCAGGATAAGAACAGAAATCGTGCTCTGGTGGCGTGGCGGCAGCTTTAGCCATTAGCTAAAGTGGTGCTTCAGGTTAAGAACAGTTTCAGGTTAAGTACGGACCTCCGGAACGAATTAAGTACTTAACCTGAGGTACCACTGTACTGGAGCATCTTCTAATCAACAGAAATACCTACTTGGACCCTGCTAGACTTTCCAAACTGAAATGCACTTTCATAGCAATCTGTAATTTTGTAATCTCATCCCCACCTCAGACATGGGATTTCATAATCTTCCATGTTTTTGTTCAGCTAGCTTTTATCGTTTAGCCCGTGGCCATGACAAAACTCCTCGCCTTTTGAAAAAATTTCACAGATCTTTGCTACCAAAAAGCCTGAGTTTTATGGGAGGTAAGGAAACAGTGCCTTTTGAAGGTTTCTTTCATGGGTTCTGTGCTTTGTAACAAGACGCCCTTGGCAGGAGTTTGGTGAAGCAATAGAGCGGAAGGGGCGTAGCTCAGTGGCAAAGCATCTGCTTAACATGCAGAACATCCCAGGTTCAATCCCTGCATCTCCAGATAGGGTTGGGAGGGAACCCGGCCTGAAGCCCTGGACAGCTGCTGCCAGTCAGCAGCACCAAGGTAGATGGATCAATGCTCTGACTCTCTATAAGGCTGGTTCCCATGTGCAGCTTGCTTGCTACCCCCTTGTGAGTTATTTCTTCCATGCAGGCTCCAACAAGACAAGGCATAGTTGTGGGTAAAGCAAGGACTTCTTGGTAGTGGAGGGAAGGTGGAGGTCTCACTACAAGGCTAGAACTATCACACTCCACAACTTCCTTCTTGCTGTCTGTATTTTCCCTTGAATTTAAGACTGAAAAATGAGAAACCAAAATCATCAGATCCACCCATCCTTGGTTCAGAGTTAAGGAATTTGAGCATCAGACTGTCAGGAAGTAAGCTCTAGAATGGGAAACACTTTGCCCTCTTTGTGCTTAAAATCCAGCCTTTGTCTAAAAGAAAATGCTACTTCTTTAAATTTGTCAGGTATTGGAGGGTACGGTCGCACTCTTGGATTGTTTAATTCTCTGAGAGTTTCCCAAGACAGAATGGAGACTATGACCATCTTGTGCCTTATGGGTTCCTTTAAAATTCCCCGCACCACAAAATATAGTGGTTGTTGTTTACTGCTGAAACATGAGAAAATGTGGCTTCTTAGAGATCCAAAATGTTTGTAGTTATAATATAATAAACTATTGTACTTGAGCTTTTGCAGGATCTGACACCAAGGTGGAATCTACACATGTATAAAGAAACACTGTGAAAATGCTTTTTTTAAAAAGTTTCGGGGGGGGGGGGAATAGATTGAATTTGCCATAGCTCACCATCACCATCTAGTGTCACATTTGCATATTGCACTTTACAGATGCAACAAGGAAGCGACCACTGTACAGCGCTTCCACTTCTGCTGGGGAACAGACGAAATCCTGGACATTTTCTATTAAATTGAAAATTCCTGCCGGGCACCAATTTAGCCTCCTCCCCACCCCCAACATTACCGGAATTTTCTGATATACATGGCGACCCTACTTACTCAAAACAACAAATGAATTTGTTACAATTCTTTCCTCATTTTACAGTTAAGGAGACTGAAATGTAAGAACAAGGATCAAGGCAGCAAATAGAAAACTGAAGCTATGTTTTCTCACCCATATCATGTGCAAACCACAATACCACACCACACCACACCACACCACACCACACCACACCACCACACAAACTTGCCACCAAATTATTCATCCTCCAATGAGCTACAATTCTCAGAGTTCCCTGGGAAGATTGTTGCACCACTCTGAGAATTGTAGCGCTGTGAGAGGAACGGGGCCTCCTACCTACTCTCAGCGCCCTTAACAAACACAGTCCCCGTGATTCTTTGGTGAAAGCCATGGCTCTTTAAAGTGGTATGATACTGCTTTAAATGCATGGTGCAGATGGGGCCTCTGTCTCAAGATTTAGCCACCTACAACTTGAAGAGATTTGGGTGAGGGGTGTTAAAGGGTTTAATTGCGAGTTGTCCTGTTTCCATTCAAAACTGAGCACTGTTCCATATGTAACGTAACTCTCTTCATCTCCCTCTCATGCATATTTTGCTGCAGTAACTCTGTATAAAATTACCTAATCAGCAAAACAAAGGAAAAACTTAAAAGAGAGTTTACTGCCCCAGGGCTAAGCCCCAACAGCAGTCCCTTTCTTTAAAATGATATTTATAATGCTTAATTAAGGAGAGTGTAGAATCAAGGTGTGTGTGTGTGTGTAATAAAGCACTCTGGGCCATGTGGAAGGCTGTGAGCTTTTCCTCTGCCCTCGCCACGCCTGCAAGGCACCAGTTATCGCAAAGTTCCACATACTTTGTTACGACTTGCCTAATTAGAGGTGTGTGTGTGTCAATGAATCTGGGTGGTTGGGGGTTTTTTTTGCTGCAGGTACAGCAGATTTTTAAAAACAGTTTTGCTTTTGGGGCGCAGACTCTCATTTGCTTTCCTTTGTGCAACGCAGGCGATTCTCATCCGTTTGGCAAAATGGGGTCTCTGGTGTTGTGGTGCTTCAGGGGGAGCAGAACATGTTTTCTTTGTGAGGGGCAAAAATCCTGACAGTTCGGTTCTCGCCTCTTGCGTGCGTCTGCATTTCTCGAGTGAACTTGTGTGTTTGCATGACAACTTTGGGCCAAATTCATTACAGTGTCAGAATCCCTTCTCAGGTTTGTTACTGTCAGTGTTAGTGGTTGTGGGGAAGCCATTAAGCGGTCACAGAGGAGCTCCCTACAAATTGTCCAGTGCAAAGTTTGGGGGGAAAGCACACTGCAACACCCCCACACCCCTCCAAGTGTGTGTGTACATTGTACCCTAATGGAAGGATATGTTTTGGTTCTCTGTTTCTCGTTTTTGCAATCTTAAATACAGTTCTCCACATTCTGCAGCAATTTGCAAAAAAAGAAAAAAAAAGTGTTTTAAATCCCCATGAAAATCCGCCAGCATTTTAGTGAGAATTTCTCCTAATAAACACGTTTTTATAACCAATTCCCCTTAACATAATACATTTTCTGAGTGTTAGCTTCACTAATACCTTCATTTTTATGCACACGTTCTTCTACTGTGTGCATTTTTGTAAGCGCTGGTTGGAGAACTGCATTGCAGAATGCGGATAAACGCATATTTCGAAAAACATCTGCGTTATGCATACTGTTTGGGAAAGTGCAAATTTGATAGATTTGGCTTCGGATGTGAACTGAGTAGAATTTCTCCTCCATCCCTACTTGAAAGTCAGACTTAAAGGAATTTCTAACCTACATGATTTTACTTAGAACTCAAAAGTTAGGGTCAAGCCTTTGGAAGTTGTTCTTCTTGGATGGCGGGAATTGCAGCTGTTATGGGAGTTGTGGTGTTGCAGGCACATATTGCTTGTGGGCTTCTCATTGGAAATCTGGTTGGATACTGTGAAAATAGAATATCGGACTAGATGGGCCTTTAGCTGTTCTAATGACTAACAGCAATGCTAGGGAGCAGATACTTTTGCCAGAATTGTGGCAGAAAGTATGAGTTAACTTCCTCCTGTTAGCGCTGTCCCAATCCTGCTCATCTGCTCCCCGGCCCCCGGCCCCCATTTTTCTAGAAAAATAGCAGTTTAGGATTATTAGGGGCCTAATCCAGATCCCCCTCTAGTTTCACTTCTGATTCTACTGTATTCATTTGCCATTAATGCAATGCTTTTCTTTTGCAAACTGTGTTATAATCTTCATTGCGTTTGCCCTCCAAACAACCCTACGATTTAGGTGACTGTTGTTGCCATTTTGCAGATAAGAACAGCCTGAGGACTTGGTTTAAATGCGAGCCCTGATTTAAATGTGACCCTGCGGCGTGAGTAAAAAAAGGTATCCGTGCAGAGCAACATGTGCCTGGCATCGCATCTAAACCAAGTTGCTGGCTGCTGCAATCGTGTACAAAGTTGGCACACTAGTAGAACACCTGCCTAGGGATGGGCAAATCTCTCTGTTTCAGTTTCTCATTCTTCCAATCTTAACCTTAGTTCTCCACATTTCCACGTCACTTTGTGATTTATATTTTTAAGTCTTCATGTAAATTCACTGGCATTTCAGTGCAAATTTCTTTTACACGTCTGTATACAATTCCATCTAATATACACATTTTTGCAAAGCGATTTCGCCTAATATAACCCATTTTTATGCACATTATCCTAGTAATGTGTATCTTTTTATGCACACTCTGTCTTAATAATGTGCATCTTTTACACGTTACTTGGGTGGAGAACAGATTGCAAAATTTGGAGGAGTGTGAATTTCAAAAGATGGCTGTGTGTTTTGGAAACTGCAAATCAGGTAGGTTTGCCTTTAAATGTGAACTGAATTGAATTTTCACCTCATAGCTTATATCTGCTCACAACACAAACCTGTGGCATGCTAAGCCTGCTCAGGCAGCAGCCAGAAACATGGTTTAGACAGGACACTGAAAATGCAGGACTCTGCATGGGTAGGTTTCTTTGCACATACCCAGCATTATTAGCTATGACTGGGTTTTTTAAAAGAAATTTTAATTTGTTTTTTGATGTTTTTATCACCATGGGCTCCTTTAGAAGGAAGGGAGGAATAGGAATCCAATTAATTGATATTTAACGAATGTTAATAATTCACCTAGGGTTGCCATATTTCAAAAAGTGAAACTCTGAACACAAAAATTGTCAAACCATTGTCTTCCAACATTGAGCACAGCACATCAACTTCTTTTGAATAGCAGAACTCCAAAACTTCCCTGTTTTTGTTGTTGTTGTCATCATGGCATCCTTAGGGCCAAGGAACTCCAGCCATAAGGATATAAGTCCCATCTGTCTCTGCATCTTGTTTCCACCAAGAAAAAGCAAAAGGTATAATGGCAAAAGCCTTCTCCCACTGTTGCTGCCCAGCATCTGGCATTTGGCTTCTGAAAATGGAGGCTCCGTTTATCTATCATGCCTACTAGCCATGTAACAGACCCATCTTTTCACAGACTGGGCGAATCCCCTATTGAATTCAGCTATCCCACAAAGTATCTGCACCCTCATCGTAGCCGCAGGAGGCATGGCTGGCTCCCAGCCTCTGGCATTGCTCTGAGGAATGAGGTTCGTCCAGAAAGGCACTTCATCCCAGGAAACTCCCTTCAGCTACTGGAAGCCACCTTGCATACCCTTTGACATACCTGTTTGCCTTTGGTGTCAGACTGTCTGAACTAGCCCTCCCTGCCACTGTTTATATCGCTGCTTACCATTTTTAATTTGCCAAGCGTTTGCAAGTCTCTGTGCATCTGCCTCACCTCTGGCTCCCATTCACAGGCACAGAGCTGAAGCTGCAAGACTCTTGTCTAGGGCCAGACTGTGAGTCCTACCTAGTAGCAAAGCTGAGTGCTCTTCGTGCATCTATAGGAGGGCAGGATCAGGCCAAAAGGGGCCCATCTAGTCCAGCATCCTGTTATCAGAGTGGCCAACCAATTGACTCTGGGAAGCCTGCAAGCAGGACTTGAATGCAAAGGAA